TCTTATGTAGAGCCCATAGCAGTAGACCGTGATGAGCTGTTGATGATGATGATGATGATAAGACCATATTTAAGGAAGGGAACCGTGCAAGGTCCCTTCTTTTTCTTTCTTTCGTCATTTTCTTGGGATTTTTCCAATACTTTTGTACGAACCCGAAACTCAATTTCAACACCCACTTTACCCATTTTACAATTTCTTAAGATTTTACAAAAAGTGAATTGTAAATAGACAGGAGTTCCATTAATCACTGCGAGTTAGACAATGTTTAGCCTCTTCATAATGTTAAAATACTTTTAAAAACTCAAAGGAAATTTTAAGAAAAATGAAAAATGATTGTGAATGGAATTAATGTTGTTCTTATTGACTTTAGATCGGTTTTTTAAACAACCGTTGTTTAATATAGGAGAAAATAAGAATGGAAGTCTTAGTTCATCTCTTATATATCTATATTCACACCTCTGTCTACCCGTTAAGAATATAGGTATGTATAAAGGTGCTATTATAATTACAGTACGTACTTTTGGTAAAAATGTACGTACTAAGAAACAGTGGCGTAACTACATGGCGGCACGTCGACAAAATGCTACGGACCCTAGCTGGAAGGAGCCCGTTCAGAGGTTCTCATCTGAACTTCCCTGTTTCTGTTTTTTATTGGGAACGGGAGCCCATCCAATGAATTTGCCTCGGGTACTGAAGGGTATAGTAACGCCACTGCTAAGAATTATGTAATGATTTGCTTGAATGTGTTTGATGTAATAGAAGAAAGCTATGCCCACAATAAACATACAGAAATCTCTAAGAATAAAAAAAAATTGAAACAAAAACAGCATGGCCTTCCTTAAGAGAAGTCATTTCAGTAATTTATCTTGAATGGCAAAGTTAATTAAAAAAATACAATGCCAACCTCATCAAGCCACAAAAAAGCGTGAAAAAGAATAATTAGTTGCAATCAAGTTCCTAAATAAAGGTCATTAATTTCCCTCCTATCTGCAGAGTCGGACCACTAGACAGAATACCAAATATTTGCGCTTGTTTGTTTGTAGGGAGACAATCCCAACGCATTTGTAAAAGTCCACTCTCGAATAATTAAATGTTTTGTGACGAAGATTAGGATTTAGGACGGTACTGCACTGTCAACTGTTTTGTTGGCATTTGTTTGCGAGTGTCTTTTGTTTTTATATCACCGACATGGAATAGCATTTGATATACTGCCTAGATAATGAAATGGTCACAAGTGTTATTGCCGGGTAACAAATTTCTTGAATTAATTATTAGGTTTTCGGCTTACTCACGCAATTGCTTGAGAGTAGCAGCGCTACAGTCGCCGCGTCGCGGGTCGCGGAATGCTGCTCATGAATATGAGCCTCTAGCAAGTTATGTGGGGAAGCCGAAAACATAATAATTAAATCTCTTGAATGCGATTCCTTGGTCGAAATCGTACTCGGCTGCTAAGTTTATGGCAATAACTTCACCCCTACAAGAGACTTAAAGGTAACTTTAAAAAGTCAAAGTCAAAGTCAAAGTCAAAGCATTTATTTCAATTAAACCATAGTTTGGTACTTTTGAAACGTCAACAAATACAAAATAAATAATAGTCTGTCAGTCAGTCCGTCAGTGAAGCTAGGTGAAGCTAGGTGCTCATTCCAAAACGTAGATTCGAATGGAGAAGAACGAGCAAGAAACTCCATTCGTTACTCTTTTAAAAAAGTATGTTCTACAATGTCTCTGATACATATTTCAATACTGTACGCATATGTAAGAACAATGCAAAGACACGCTTGACGCATTATACTAATAACTTACTAAAATAAAAATAAAAATAATAAAGATCTTAAGTCCAACATGGTGCTCACATATGCATACTGACAATCCATAGAAATAGTGCTTCTATACAAGAAAAAGGAAACTCTTTGTTTCAATAAAGAAAGAAATGCTCGATGCCATAAGGAAACTAGATTGTCTACATTAGAATTAAAGTATTAAATTATGTATTATATTACCTACTATTGGAATTTAACTACTGACTACATTTGAGTATTGTCCAGTGGAGCCGAACCAACATGCTGCCAAGCATTCTTATCTTCAAGATAATCTGTCAGTGTGTAGTAAGCTTGATTACATAATTCGCGCTTAATATATGTTTTAAATTTACTTTCATTGAGATCTAGTATGCTATTTGGTATTTTATTATAGCATTTAATACCTAACCCCATAAAGGATTTCTGTACTTTGGACAGTCTGAATTGCGGTATAGCTAACTTATTTTTGCCTCTAGTATTAAAATTGTGTCTATCGCTTCTTTTTTCAAACAATTGCCTATTTTTCCTTACATACATTATATTTTCATATATATATTGACAGGGCACCGTTAAAATATTTATCGTTTTAAACAATTCTCTCAACGATTCGCAACGGCGTAAGTTATATATTGCTCGGATAGCCCGCTTTTGCAGAATAAATATTGATTCTATTTCTGCAGCTCGACCCCACAACAAAATGCCGTACGACATAATGCTGTGGAAATAACTAAAATAGACAAGCCTAGCTGTATCCACGTCCGTGAGCTGTCTAATCTGTCTAACTGCAAAAGCAGCTGAGCTCAATCTCCCCGAAAGCGCCTTTATATGCGGACCCCATTGTAGCCTATTGTCTAACGTAATGCCTAAAAATACTGTCTCGTCGACAAATTCTAACTTTTGACCGTTCAAAACAATATCACAATCGTTACTACGCACGTTTGGTAAACTGAATTTAATACATTTTGTTTTTTTTTCATTAAGTGCTAGATTATTAATGGTAAACCAATTATGCACTTGAAGAATGGAGCTGTTTACGTCGTCAAGATTATTTGTACGTCGATCTACTTTAAAAATTAATGATGTATCATCTGCAAAAAGCACCATTCTTGGTTCATTTTTAAATATAAATGGCAAATCATTTATATAGACTAAAAAGAGAAAGGGACCCAATATTGAACCTTGAGGAACGCCCATATTCATCCCAGAGCCCTGTGAGTTAATACCGTTAACATGAACCTTTAACTGTCTTTCTTCTAAATAAGATTTCATAAGACGGAGCGCAGAGTTTCTTATCCCGTAATGATCTAATTTCAGCAAAAGTGTTTCGTGGTCAACGCAATCAAATGCTTTTGAGAGGTCACAAAATACACCAATAGCATCCTGTGCTTCCTCCCAAGCACCAAATATTTCCTTAATCAAAGTGACACCGGCGTCAGTTGTGCAACGACCTTTAGTGAAACCGTATTGTTGTTGGTGAAAGATGGAATGTTTATTAAAATGATGAAGCATCCGAGACAGCATCAACTTTTCAAAGACTTTGCTGAGAACCGGTAAAACAGACACTGGCCTATAGTTGTTAGGTTCTTTAGTGTCACCACTTTTAAATAGTGGGATAACCTTACTATATTTCATTAGGTCAGGGAAAACACCGTCATCTATACATTTATTGAAAATCACAGCCAGATATGGCGCTACAGTTTGGATAAGTGACTTGCAAACCATTACCGATAAGCCCCAAAGATCCTCCGTTGATTTAGTCTTGATTTCTTTAAAAACTTTTATAATTTCTAGAGGATTCGTATATCGAAAACTAAAGTCGTATTGACATGATTCTATGTTGTTCTTAAGCAAAGTTACAGAGAGGTTTGCTGATGACTTTAAATGTTCAGTTGTTTTAATAGGAATACTAGTAAAAAAATTTTCAAACTCCTGGGCTACATCTACGTTTGATGTAATCTGTCCCCTTTCGGTATTTAAATTAAATTCTGAGTTTCTTAATCTTTTCCTACCGGTCTCGTTGTGTATAACTTTCCAAGTAGTTTTTATCTTATCATCAGACGATTTTATTTTATTACTAATATAAAGACGTTTCGCGACTCTGCATACTATTCTAAAGGTTTTTGAATAAGATGTTACATACTGGTGAAATTGGGGGTCATTTTTGTACGGTTTCATTCCATAAAGTTCAAAAAGTCTGTCCCTACTCTTACGAATACCTACAAAGTAGCCGGTACTCAAGGGTAGAATACGATAGTATCATTTATTTGCACTAAATGTAGGTAATAAAGTAAGGTAAGGTAATAAAGTAAGGTTGTATTTATTTAAACGGATGTACCTACAGTTCCGTATCCTTTTAGCCAAAATGAAATAACAAATTAACAAGTCCCATAAACAAACTTCAAACCTATTTATAAATTGTAAATAATATTCAATTAATATTACTCATACATCTAAAAATACGTCCACGTGTAGACGACATGATTAGGGTGCTCCTGGCGAAGTAATGAGACGGCTCTGATTGGATTGTGTCCGCCTGATTGCGACCCTTTCTCCAAGAGCCCCTACGTGGAGCGGTGATAAGGGGCTCTCGAAAGGATCCTGCCAAACCATGTGTTCATGTTTCTCTAAATGTGATTATTTTTTATAAATGACTGCGTTTTTTTAACTCTGTTTTATAAGAAATATTAAGCTGAATGGTTTAAACTGTCAAACACCAAGCGGTCACCGGTGACCGCAACCTATTGTTCTTTAATTGTGTCTATAATGACGGTACTCAACGAGTGCGATCTCCAACCCATCTATCATGTGGTCATAGTAAATCCCTTTTACATAGAAGAGGCTCATACTTCAGCAGTGGTCTAACACGGGCTGTTGATGGGATTGGATTGAATTCAATTATTTTTTTATAATTTACAGGGGTAGTACTCGTTCTCACTCCTAAACTTTAACTGTCTCATTGGCCGAGTGGTCGCAAGTTCGACGCATAAGGGGTCCTGGTTTTGAGTCCCGGGTCGAGCAAAGTACTACTGGGTTTTTAAAAAAATGTCAGTAGCAGCACGGAGTCTGGAATTGTGTCCAGTATATGGCAATAGGCTCACCCCCTATTACTTGGAACTCGTATCATAATAGTGAAAAGGGGTAGTTACATTATTCAGGGACATTAAGTGCCGTTTATATACCCCTTCGGGGATAAAATTCGTAATGTTATGTATGTACTCGTTCTATAATCTGTAGTCTTATGGGACGTAGTTTCGTCATTCTACCTTTTTGATAAATATTGTTTGTTTTGTTCCCCAGGTCTCCCTAATGACCTGTCAGTCTCCTGGCACCAGTACCCCTACAGTCTCGGCATCGTCTTCTGCAAGCTGAGGGCACTCATCTCTGAAGCGTAAGTACTTATTATTCTGTGTTTCTTTTTTATAATGTTAATATAAGCGGTAACATGTGGTGGCCCGGAGGTTTAAGACGCCCGCTTCTGCAATGCATGGGGGTGGGGGTTGGAAACCGGCTAGTACCGATGTGACTATTTCCGAGTTAAATGTACTTTCTAAGATTATTTAGTACATTTATTTGACAAACGGTGAAGGAAAAACATTGTGAGGAAACCTGGGCGTATAATTTCAAATTATAAGTCTGTAATCGCGGTGATTAATTAATTAATTTATTTATTTTTAGACAATGTACATATACAACACCACAGCTTACATCATTAAGTTATACTGCTATAATGCTCAAACCTTCTCCGTGTAAGAAGAGGCTTTGCTCAGCAGTGGGCGTTTATAAGCTGTAGATGTTGATGATGAATCTCAAAACAGAACAAGTAAAGACAAATGTCCTTATACATATATGAGTATTCCAAATATTTCAAGTCATCCCTATTCTATTCTTGGAACTGTCAATTTACAAGTAACTCACTGTAACTGTCTTCTCAACAAGTTCTATAAGTTGTAAGTTGTCAGTAAGTACTTAACCGGGACTTTAATTTTAACTAATAGTTCAGACGAAACTGTTTGTAAGAACTTGTAGTTAAAATTAACTGTACCCTGTAACTGAACATAATTGACAGTTCCTTTGTCTGACTGGAAGTTCACAAAGATGTTTAAGTTTCATTGATATTATTAGTAACTAGCTGTGCCCACGACTTTGTCCGGATGGAATACATACAGATAAAAAGACAAAAATTCTAAAAACCATATTTTTGCTTTCGGAATCGCCTGTAGATCACGCTCCAAGGATTCTTTTAAAAAAATATTAAATGTACAGTATTCACTTTCCTACGATATTATTATATGTTAATGTAATTAAACTGTCAAACACCAAGCGGTCACCGGTGACCGCAACCTATTGTTCTATAATTGTGTCTACAAAACCGGTACTCGACGAGTTAATGGATTTCGGATTTGTTCTATTGTGAATGTTTTTGAAAAAACAAAATCATCTAATATCGTAATCGAACTTAATTCTTTGCTCGGCTGTTACAATGCGGTTACAATAGTTACAAATCACATGAAATTAAGGTACACATGCTAATTTTAACACGAACCCGAAACTCATTTCAGGCATGTTGGTGAATCGTTTTTGCGTTGAGCATGCTCAATAGAGTGCTTTATAGCATTACTGTACCTTTCGGTTCTGATAAATAATTAAAACTGAAATAGTTAGCATGAATTATAACTTAAATAACTCCATGCTTTAAACTAAAACCGTTAATTTAGTTAATGATGGAGTGGTCCAAAGTGAGGTATCGATTAACAAGATAATTCAAAAGGTAGTAAAAAGCTATACAAGGTGTAGTTTCGAAACCGTGTCAATCCTCGGAGACATGTCACAGAAGTCCTACAGGTTCAATGTAAGAAAAGTTTCGGGCCAATAGTTAAAAATACGGCTATAATAAATCGTTTAAGTTCGACAGTATTTCAGAATAAGCGACAGCAATGTATCTTATTGGAGTTTTATGGAATTAGGTATAAAATCAATTACGTGTTTGAGTTTGTGTGAGTTAAGCCACGTTATAAAGCTAGTTACAAGATTACGGCGTGTACTTCGATCTTACGGATTTCCGTAATTTCAGAAAAATTACAAAATATTTATCTACAATTTTTTATATTGATTCGGGCTCAGAGTCCATAGCCGTGTTACCTCCTAGAAAATGACGCGGCTTTAAAACAACACCTTGTATTTGCTAACCAAAACATCCCTAAAGTATAAAGTACTAGAATAGAATATAATATTTAAAAACATAATTTACAACTTTGAATTTTCTTTTCTAATTAAACAATCAATTTAACGAGGCGCCGCTCGCCGGCCGAGCATCGAGCCGATACCTTGCAATGGCCACCAGGGGACAGTTCTTTTAATTAAATCTTATTTACTGTTATTAAAAAACAAGGAAAACAGGATAAATAAAAAATAAATTAAGAAAATTAACTAATGTATGATATCAATGAAACGTGATTAATTAAAAATAGACTCCATTTTTGTGTAACAATTATCGTGAAGGTATAAAAACTAAAAATACAGGTTAATCATGACATTCAAGGAAAGGTCAACTAGTTTACAATAAGAAGCCTAGTATGACTTGAAACTAATAGGGCTTTAGTCGAATTGTTCACGTGATAGTCTAATTTGAAGTCGACAGAAGTTCGATATGCGGATTACAGGTCCTAAATACAGCATTGGTCAATGTCTAAGATAAACTTGGAGGACCATGCCTCACAGAAAACCGATGTGATACACTTGTAACACCTCTGATAGTGCGGGTGTCCATGGGCGACGCTGATTGCTTACCATCAGGTTAACCGTTTGCTCGTTTCCCGGCAGTTAAGACTGGGAAAAAATGCCTGTGGCATATAGTCCACTTAAAGTCCACTCTGTGCATGAAGCATAGATAAATAAATAAAACTTTTTACAGTTAAAGACATAAGATTGAATTATTTACTTTAACCTTTGCAGCCATAAATAAATAAATTGGGTTCAACACGTAGGTACTATTGGCAAAGATTCTCGCTACGTCCTTATTCTTAAATGGATTTCTTAATCTTTGCTCTTTAAAGTCGGTATCAAGTAGAAAACGTGGGTTGTTGATTACTTTAAGAAAAACGGCGGCTGAGATAAGATAGAGGTGTTCTGAACGTGGAACCTCGAAGTGAGGAGAAAAAAAAATTTAGATTTGTGAGTATTTAAAACAATCATACTAATACTGCCTCGTTGGCCGAGTGGTCGCAAGTTCGACTGCCGGGCAAGGGGTCTCAGGTTCGATTCCCGGGTCGGGCAAAAAACTACTGGGTTTTTTTTAAAATTTTCAGTACTAGCACGGAGTCTGGAAAATTGTGCCCGGTATATGGCTAAAGGCTCACCCCTATTACCTACATGGGACTCATAATATAAATCGTGAAAAATGGGTGTTATATTGTACAGTGGCATAATGTACACTTCTGCCTATCCCATCGGGGATAAAAAGCGTGATGTTATGTTATGTCACACTTATGTATATTATAAATGTGAAAGTTACTTTCTTTGGATGTTTGTCTGTAAACCATGCTGAAACTGCTGAAAGGATTTTTATGACACTTGGTATACAGGCAGGTTATAAGCTGACTTAGGTCATAGTATACTTTTTATCCCGATTAAATGCTCCTAAGAATTGCGGGGAGCCAGTGCACGCAAGTGGCGAGTTGTCGTTCGACGTGGAGGACTAAGGGAGACGCCTTTGTCCAACAGTGGACGTCTCTCGGCTGTTGTTTTTGATGTATGGGAGTTAGGAAACAATCATCATTAGCCCGTTTCCATCATCTGCTGAACATAGGCCTCTCCGATGGCACGCCACTGAGCTCGGTCTGCACTCACGCATCCAACCACTGTCAGCTACACAGTGAATATCGTCACTTTACTTGGCTGTAAGGCTTCCTACACTGCATTCACTTAGACGCGGTCACCACTCCAGAACAAAGAACATCTAGGAGTCGGAACGGGGTGGTTTTTAGTCAGTAAGAGTCTGACACTCCCTCTCGCTTCACCGGGGCAGGAGAACCGAGAAGTCATTGGATGATTTCCCCCCCTCAAAAAGAAGATCATAAAATGCTAACTAGAAACTACATCTACATGCAGCCCAGATAAATAGCTGTCGATAGATTGCCCCATCATCATCAATTGCCGCCAGTTCTGAGAATCGAACCCTTACGCAACAGTCACGTTGTGATGTTTATGCCACGGGTCAAATAGTGTTGTGTATGTATTTGTGTTTGGAAACTAGATACATAGGATGTAATCCCAATGCGGGGGACTTTGAGGACAAATCAATTATAAGTATTTATAGCTGTCATGCCCTTGAAAGTTTTTATTTTTTAACTTCTAGAAGATTTAGAATAGATCAATGTACCTACTTACGAATTTTTTCCAAATAAATATCTCCATTACAGATTACGACATTAGATCAATTTATAACAGCAATTTATAATTAGATAAATTTGTCCCTTCTCCCAATATTAATAGTGGTGGGGGCTTAAAAACTTCCCCTGAAAAATTAAACGAAAAACTTTTAACGACCAATTTTATTCTTTACGAAGTCGGAACAAATCCAAACAGTTTTAAACTCTTACAAAACGTAACTGATCAAGTTGTGAGACCTCAGTATAATGACGTCATTATACTTGGTTCCCCTTTAAACTGGGATGCTTGTATTTAAAGCGGCGTCTCTATTATTTAGAAATTACTATTTTTGTCCCCGACTTTGTCAACGCGTAGTCCTTACTTTTCTCCTTCGAGTTAGAATTTCAGAAAAACCGCGCCTAACGTTCGTCTGCAGTTTCTGAGAAACATTAATGCCAGGTTACAGTTATTTAAGAATATAGTTATCTCTTATTTACTCAGCCGTGAGATCTATAAACACCTATCGTAGTAATTTTCTAAAAAAAACTGAGATGATTATGTCAAATAATATACAAAATGATCCCTTAAAACTAAACAAAACTACTCAGGAAACTTACAACGCATTTATCAGAATTATTGGAATGATTTGGAATGCACTCTCTAGGAGGCACCAGCGTGTGTAGGTTCGGAAGCCTGTCGTTTCACACCTGAAAGGGCACGGATTTAAATGTGAAAGTATTGTAGAGTGGGGGCGCTGCGATCGCGTGTGAGGGACTATGCGCCAGGTGTGCCGGGAATGCGCTCCGATATTTAACTGGTATTTTAGTAATGTAGGAATATTTATAGCGCTAATGTGTTTTTTATATAGTGTAGTCATCCTACCTTCGTCTCATAAAGGGCAATAACCACCATTGGAGGAACCACAATCTCTGAAACCTCACACATTGACTCCTCAACTCACAATCCCCAAAAGGTCGACAACGCACTAATAACACCTCTAGTGCTGAGAGTGTCCATGGG